TTACTTGAGTTACTAACAATTATATTTCTTTTATGCCTCATTTGGCCGTCATTATCATGAACAGGCACTTGTCTTGATCTTCTATTATCAACAATTAAAATGTGGGACACGTCATCGCATGCGTGCACTCATAGGCTTGATGTGCGGCCGTACAACCTCGCGTACTGATTGAGGACAAGAGCACGCAGGCAATAGCAGCTCAAGGGCCCTCGCTTGTTTTACCGGAAGCCGCCATGTTGTATGACTGAGTTTCCTTCCTGTGTACACAAATGCGTGATTTAGCTAGCGAGTAAACGTATTCCTGCAATACGTCTACTTCTTCTGTGAACCCATAGTAGAGGTTTCTGAGTTTAGTCAAGGTTTTCGAAAGTATTTATCCGCTACAATATCGTCTATGCTTAGTTTAACGAATGTACCTTGAATTACAATTAATATGCCAAATGTATATTTGTGCAATGGGACGATGTGTACACCTTTCAGTGGCGGAACCTAATTGTAATCACTCCAAGCATCTTTATAGACCACTCAATATTCGCGACGGGAGACGTGTTCGCAGACCTCTTTTTGAGCAATTTCGGAAACGAAATAGGAATTTCCGTCTGACATGAAGAAGTCCTGTCGTCACGGGGAGTTTGTAATTGAGAAACTTTGACAGAAACATCAAGTGGAAATCGTTTTTTAAAACTAGAGAAATGATTCATCGGTAACTTCAAATTGCTCATCATTTGATACACCTCAAAATATTCTGTCTGTATTTCAGATACTGAAGTTTTTGGAAAACCTTCCAAACGACTGAATTAGCAACAATGCGTACTTGAACTTGCAAAGGATAGAGAAGATTATTTCGCCGTAGACACAAATTGTGAGTTCTGTTTGAATTCCGTTAATTTACTGACCTAAATCATTTGAACTATTTGTGCTTGCAAGCTTTAGGAAATACGACAATGCTAGAATAATCTTTTTAAATGAATCGTTTCACCTACCAACCTTGCAGTTAAAATGATCCTTGTCAATATAATCTGCGTTATCTACTTTTTAATGCAAGCAGAGAGATTGTTTTAGAATTTTGCAATTTTTCCAAAAAATAACTCTAAAATTGATGTCGCATTTCTAACCTGAGAAGTGAAAATAATAGTAGTGCACTGGTAGATCTTATGATATCTTTTGCAGATTACAATTTCGCTCTGTAATTTTGCTAGTCGAAACAATAATTAGTGACCAATCAGAGACAACAATTGAGGAGCTGCCATGACGATGTAAACGCTGGAAATTTTGTTTCTCTCACTGGGCTTCTACCCTTCATACATCCTGTAGATTACATGCTCTCTCGTATTAAATGTTCTTATCAACAAGCCACTACTTGAGATAGGACTTATTAAAATTTCGAATTCATAGTTGGAATTCTAGTCAACAAAATTCAACAAGTAGGTTGTTTTATGCTGGATGACGAAGCCCAATTCACGACATTTCTAGCGTCACCATTCCAACGCCGACGTGTTGTCGTTCGAGGAGACAGCAAGCGGCAATATCCTGCTGTGTTTTGTGGCCATAAAATGGAAAGATTGGATGGGAATGGGATTTGAAGCTGATTCGAAGATGCAAAGAAAATGTCTCGGAATGTGCAAGCTATGTTTTCTATTGATTTATTCGTGAGCTTACCGCACCCTTTGAATTTATGGAATAATTGTTTTGCCTTTCGATCATGGTTTGCTCTGGATTTCCCTCAGTGGTGCCGGTGTCATCACAGTAACGACGTGACCAACACTTTCTTTCCTAAATGAAATAAGTAGAAATATGATCCAAACATCATGCCCTAGGTATCTTCAATCATTCTTAAGAGAATAAGTACGATTTAAAAGCAACAAGAGGTTACCATGGAAGAATTTTGACTAAAACTAAGAAGAAAACGGCAACTTAGTCTAACCAGGCATCTTTCTCGAGTAACAGAATTATAAGTGGTGCCATACATTTCAGGAAATCCACTCCAAGAAATTGAAAATGATACAGCGCGTCTTAGTCCTGATAGTAAGAAGGAGAGAAATGAAATGTGGGCCTAATATTCGACCAGAAGGGGTGCGGGTTAGACTTACCTCCACGTGGTGCACCCTGGACAACGTATTTTCTTACGGCAAAAAAGTCTATCACTCGGCATTCGCTTTTGACTTCGATTTATTATGATTAGCTTTAAAAAAGGCTAAAAGAAAAAATGCCCTCGTCAGGGCGAATCACAATGTCTTCAGATCCTCCAGTGGGAGGCTGGAGGAATGTCTCCGGACAAAATGATCCAAGTTCAGAAAATCCTACAAACCTATGATGTAGACATTTTCACAATTATGGAAGCTAACATTTCGGATGACAAACTGAAGTACTACCAATTCCCAGGTTACACCCTGTACAATCTACCTAAATACCGGCAAGTTGCAAGTGGAATTCTAACTGGAGTTAAAGAAGGCCTCACCTCACACTACGATCTAATCAGGAGTATGGGCTCGACACAAGACAAATGTGAATTAATCAGATTAAATGTTTGGAAATGTCAAAACCAATTCAAGATATATGCAGTCTATAATCCACACCAGAATTGTCCCAACTTTGACCTTCTGAACATCTCACACAAAACTGTAGTATTAGGCGTCTTCAACGCCCATTTCACCAGATGGGGCTACAAGGATACAAACATAGCTGGAAAGGAAATTGAAGACATGCTAAACAGCAACCCTCTGGAACTTTTTTACAGCAATGAGGATCCGGCTACATATTTGCACTACAATGGAACCAGAACAACTCCTGATTTACTCTTGGCTTCAAGCGACATCAGTGAGTATACACGCCGCAAAATAATTGACGATCCTGGTTCTGGTCACAAACCAGTCATTGCTAGTATTACCATCGGCAGCAAAAGCATGTCAAGGAAAGTGCCAACTAAGCTATCATGGAACTTCAAAAAGGCTGACTGGTCTAGATTCACGAACATTTTGAACAATGAACTTCACAAAAGTCCCCTCAACTTCAACCAACATCCTAACAAACTTTGCGCTGATATCACGAATATTATGATCAGATGTGCAAAGAAAACTATTCCCCGAGGCAAGACAAACACTATCGAGTGTTTTGGTCTGAACACCTTGAGGAACTGAAAAGAAAGCGGGACGCCCTTCACAACACTGCGCATTCCCATGGACAAATTTTTCAGCACCTATGAGAATAGACCAAGACATCTGAAAACGCAATCTAGTCTAATACAGAAAGCCATAGAACTGAAGAAAGAATTACAAATTGATGACAAACCAAAAAGCCTCTATCTTCTTATGAACTCATTAGCAAGCACCGATGTAGTGTGTTGCACCCAACTGCTTGACTACTTCAGGAAATCAAATACCCCTCCAGAGCAAATGCGCTCACTGGTCCTTGAGACAATCAATGTCAACTATCCTGAAGATCAATGGTTCCACGTCTTCACTGATGGGTTGTACATAGAAAACCAAGCAAACGTTAGTGCAGGTGTCTATTCTGAACTCTTCTCTTTCTACGCAGCAGCGGGACATAATACATCCGCTTTTGAAGGAGAAATAGAGGCCATTAGGTTAGCACTATGCCAATTATGTTACCTGGATACGAAATTCACCAAAGTGGTGATACTTTCGGACTCACAGTCAGTAATAAACTCAACTTGAAACAGACAGTTGAGATAAAGGAATGTAGAAAACTCTATGAGCTGCTGAGAGAGAAAAACAAAACAGTGGTCCTGCAATGGATTCCTGGTCACTGTGGCATCAAAGGCAATGAGATTGCTGACACACTTGATAAGAAGGGGACAACGATTTTGCAATGCATGGACCGGCCGATGTCTTTCCACACAATGAAGGCCTTAATCAGGAGAGAATTCCAGACCTCAAGGTGGAACGAACTTAAAGCTCGAACAAAGGAGAAACAGTGGACAGTGCCAATCTCCGACATACCCGACTGGCCAAGAATCGAAGCCGTTGCTGAATTTAGACTACTTACCGGACACGATTGCTTGGCAAAACACCTTCACAGATTGGGAGTATACACTCAACCCACATGCCCTCTATGTAACCTACAGGAGGAAATGGAGAGGACCCACCTGATTCGGTGTCCAGCTCTAAAGACAACGACAGAAATTCAGAGATACTGGAAAGCAAGAAGACAGCTAATGAATTGCTCTTAATTAACTGGTATTAATTTTCCCCGCCACGCTTGGGGGAAGCTGAAGTCAAAGTTTAAGGACTAATGATAAATATCATAAAGCCTTCCATTTGAAATAAATTAAATTTTTATTTGCCATAAAATTTTAATCATTCTTTCCTATTAATGACTTTTGCCATTTCGTTTCTTATCAAATAACATCAACACTCCACTTAGACCATTCAATTTGACCCACTTATGAAATTGAAAAAAGTTGTATTGCTTGAAATGTTTGTTGACATATTTGTGTGTTGAAATATTATTTTAAGGCTAATGTGTTTTTGGTGCAAAGATACAAATCACAAATCGTAACCAATCAATAAATGTCCTTCGTAATCTGCATTCCGTAATCATTACGAATTCTATAGAGCACAGATAATTATATGCTGCCTTCTGTTTTCATCAAGTTTTATAAAAAATAATAATGTTTCTGTTATCGCACGTGCCAAATGTTACTTCCTGAACTCAAAATGGGAATATCTACACATTGCTTTGAACTCGTTTACTGTTCACTTTGATTCTAATTTCACAGTTACGTTAAACTTGTAATTCTCTAACAAAAACACATATACATAATAATACTTTGTTCAATGATTGACGATATTCTGAAACCCCATGCAGACAATGTGTGCATTTTGTAAAGCAAATGGAAAGTGAAGATAGGAATCACTTCTTCACTATGCCTCTTTAAAACAGCGCACTTATCAACGGTTTATGCGTCACAAATAAATCGATTTAATTATTTAAATATGAGATGATGGCAAGAATATTCAGCAGCGGATAATAATTGACAATAGTTACTCACCTTCACTCAATATTATTTGTCAGTTCAACGGCAACAATTTGGAGTAAATTTCAAATTTTCACGTGACCCATGCATCATTATTATCATATTGTGAGACACGTTATCGTAAACACGCAGACTCGAAATCTGACTTTAAAATATTTTTGCACTTTAATCTATTACTAGACGTAAAATGCATCGTTCTCCTTGTTTCTACCATGTGATATTTCCCAATATTTTCGGCCCAGTCAGCAAAGATCACTCACGCGTATTCTCAATTTGAGAAGAACTTACAAAGTAAGTGTGAATTGCAATTTATTTGAATTATCCACGTTACAGTTTTATCTCCTTTCTACTTCATCTGCTTCAATACTTTGTGCGTGCTAGGCAATCAAGGATAGATTTGAAATGCAAAATTAGGGAGCAGATAATTGACTCTGGTAACTTTGACAGTGCTTTTATTTAAATAAACGGAATTTTGTGGAATGTTGAAGAAGTTAGAAATTCCTGAAGTACTTATATAAGAGTTCTATCTTCTCTGCCGATGATGAATTCGAATGCACTCTCACTTAAATTTTCTGAAATAGTTCAACTTATAATTTCTACTTATATTCATATGCCGACCATATTATTCTACTCAACTGACAAATCAACCAATAAGTGACTGCAGTCGTCAAACTTGTAAAAAGGTAAAGACGGTAATGCGCGCATTTAAGCTGACAGATGGAAAGTGAAAGAAGTAAACTTAACTTCAACAAGGCACTTGAAAACTGTTTTTCCCTCTAAGACCTATAATAACAAGATCATTTGACAATTCTAAAGCACATATAATTGAAATTGTTTTAATAAAAATCCGTGTTAGCATTGTTCAGTAACTGAAATAAGTTGAAACGATTAACTTGCCATTACACAGGATAATACACAAATGCCTACATATTCATAATACATCTTCTCTCTAAAGCTTTTATCTTATTTTAACAAAATGCCTTGTTCGCCGTGCTAAGATAATGGCGTTCTTGGTGCTTTCACCATAGCGCTGATTGATTATAAAGAAATTTTATTAACCTTTTTAATATTGGAAATCAGCTTCATGTGCACAGAAATAAGTTGTGGATAGACAAACGTGCTACTTAGCCACTCAAGTTGTTTCCATTAATTCACGGAGAGTTACGCGTAAAATTACATTCCCTCACTGCTTGTAGTGGCACATAATTATAACTATATACTGGTGATGAAACATCCAAGTTAGTCATTTACATGGATGAGACATGGACAATGGGGATTTCCTTTCGAAGCTCTAGTAAACACTTCAAAGAGCTCAATGCGGTTGTTTGGATTCAAGCATCGTTTAATATTTCATACTTGCCAATTTTTCCTGCACGCAGCCTTAATACATTTGACTGCCAATATCGACAATATATAAGTTCCGTCCGATATCGGCTTGAATATATGCATGTTTAGATCAATCAATTCCATGCAATGGACCAATTATTTAATTTGCCATTTTAATGGATAGTTGAAGTGTGCATATGTTAATATATTTCTTTCTGATCATAGAGCAACCATTCAGTAGATTATAATGCCACCCTATCAAACCAAGATTTTCAGGGTTCTCTATATATTCGTAACCAATTTTCACATTAATGGTATTGCCGTATATATTTCCAGTCCAAAAACTTTCATGTAACTCAAAATATTTATATCAAAAATTTTTCATTTTCAAATCTTTTCGTTTAATTTTTACACAACTACATTTCTTGAGTGTGTTAGCAAAACCAGATTCAACAACAAAGGTCATTATACAGCATATGAAAAACACTAGCACGACATATTTATTTATTTCTAAATGAATATCAAATAATTAAAATTATACACAAATCTCACAGTTTTGACTCTAAAGGATAATTTTTTAAACACATTCGTCATTTCACTGCATGCCCATGTGATTCGCATTAGATATTTTGAGTAAATTATTTCTTAATCTTGTGGGAACTAATGAGTACAAACATTCATCTACCCTGCAAATTATATGTGATGTTATGATCGTCTATATTCCCAGAAGAAACCATCAATTGGCATGACGAAGAAGACTTCCTCATTTAACACTTATAAGAAGTTATAAATATTACCACTTTGAAAACAATAAAAGCGTGGCCCGAGTGTGATTTGAATCAAAAGTTTAATATCGGAAATGTATAATATATGATCAAATTTAGAAATTTATAATCGTTATTAATATTTGCACGACTTAAAGATGACAAAAAATCAAATCTACACATGGTTGATATCGAAATATGTTTAAATAGGTAAAGTACCATTTAGTGTCCATTAAATTTCCATTAGATTTTGGAGGTAAGTTGTATTTCAAATTGTGTAGACTAATGAGTACAAAATATTCGCCTACCCTGCATACTATATGCATTATTCAAATCGTCTATACTCCCAGAAGAAGCCATCAAATGTCATTCGATTAAGATATTTTATTTATTAATCTTTTTACAAATAGTGAATTCGAGACTTTGATGAATTGTCATTTAAATATTTTATGAAACCAACATCACTGCTCTACGAAAAACTTGTGGATTCTTTTAGCGCACAAAAATGATATTTTATTTTAAATTATACCGATTTATCACATGACTGCATTACAGAAATATTTATTGAATTTCAAACTCTAAATTGCGCTTTCAAAATGACAATTGATCGTGCATTTTGAAAATTCATGCATCAATTAAAATATATGTTATTTCAATGCCTTTAAATTGAGCATGTAGTGAAGGTATATGTTATATGAAGCAATATCCCCGGTTTTTATGCGTAAATCAATAAATAAAAATATCGTTTGTTTAATTTGTTTCACCAAACGCCAACAATCAAATAAATAATATGAAGTAGAAATGATGCGATTACATTAACTTTGTAAATAGTCTTGCATTGATTCGCTAAAACAATTTGAAAATATTCCACATATAATTAAACAAAAGTGCATCTGTTAATTTGAATATTTTATCGTTTTATTATTATGCAGTGGAATTTCTGTATTGTTTATACAAAAGCAGATCCAACAACGGAGGGCTTTCTCAGGCACATGAAATACACTACCACTACTTATTTTTTTAAGCATAAATGGATATCAAATAATTAAAAATATACCCATTCTTTATTTTTGAATCAAATGGCTAAATTTTGATGCGATGCTTGGGTATTGGAAAATCGGTTAAACGATTAAAATAAGCTTAATATTTGGAAATATTGACTAGCTCAAATGGCGCATTTTGATTCGAATCAGGCTTCTGGAAGCATAATTTTTAGTGGCATTGGTTTTCTAACTGGGCAATTTAGTCTTAGGTGTGAAGCCTTAATTCTAAACTAGAGAT